TGACAGTTTAACTTTCCCCGGGACAAACTTGACCTTCACTGGTTGGGTTTTAATTGGCGGTCAAGCTGTAGATCCTGGCTACACAGGAGTTGCAGCGGAATGTCTAGTCTACTATGGATTACACGTGTCACGCAAAGAACATACATATTAAAGTATATGTTACACACGTGTCACTATTTGCGTCTCAAAATGAATCACGCGTGAAACATCGTAAAGAACACGTAAGAACAGCATCACGATGACGGAAATAAAATAATGGTATTATTACACCGTTACGTTCACGCAGTTGGACATAAAACATATTTATTTAGGTAACTATACTAATAATTAAATGCGAAAGTAACTCCGTCTGCCTTTTCATTAAAATTGATTAAACACAAATGATTTGGATGAAATTTATCTTATATGTATAGTTTAAAATCCATCGAAAACAAAAGATAGTGACTGTCCCGGTTTTTGGGATTATTCTAATAAACAGATACAGGGTATAGTACCTAAACTTGAATAAGTATGCAAAAAACATCTGAAAAATTGGATATGAAAGAAAAATTTAATTCGAGAGATTCAGCTTTTTATAACCAATCAGTAAGTCATAAACAATCCTTTAAGAATATTAGTTTAAATTACTACTGCTCTGCCATACATAATGCCCAGTATATTATACAAAAGGTACCTAAAGCTACACTGCGTCTTATACAATTTGTAATACTTAGGTGCTATGATGCGTTGACTGTGCCTCATAATGCATATGAGGAAGGAAAATTGAAATTGTATACAACTCTTTGATACGCAGGTATGGCATACCAAATTGCTAGTTTTCCTCAAGTTTACATCAGTAATAATAGGTTAATTAACTAAGTCTTTGAGATAAAATGCCAAGAAAAAAGTACATATTCCATACATTACAAACGCTACGGGACTATTCCCACCTCTCGTTCCCACCGCTGCAACTCCTGTGTAGCCAGGATCTACAGCTTGACCGCCAATAAAGACTCAACCAGTGAAGGTCAAGATTGTCCCGGGGGAAAGTTAAACTGTCATTGGACCCGCAACGAAATTAATCAGAAGACTAGAGTCGATCCTTAACTTCGAACTCCTTCTATGTTTTTCTAATAGTTCAGTTACCACCACCTTTACCAAAGTCTGTCGCCATAACAACAATTTTAACAGCATTGTTTCGGCAGTTGAAGATAAGATAGCCAGTTCCTCTACGGTTGAGGATTACGAGGGAAGCTCGCTTCCACCTTCGCCTGATCGTCACTTTCCATCAGGTGAGATGCAATGCAGGCCAAAAACTTTAGAATAGAATAGAATATTGTTTATTTGGCACAAGGTCCCTGACTCAGCATTAGTCGTGGTGACAAAGATGCCACGACACTGATTTTCAGCAAGGACCATTGGGGCACTGGGGTCGCCGTAAAAAAAAAAAAAAAAATCTGCGTGCAAACCCTGGCCGACTTAATGTATTTGCACCACAAATACATTAAGTCGGCCAGGGTGGCCAGGGATTAATCAATTAAACATTGTGCATGCGCAGCCACGTCTAGAATGACTTTCGCATTGTTATTAAAAATAATGTACTTAATTTTTCGGGCCAAATGTCGCGGGTTCGATTCGTGAGCCTACTAGATGGGGGCTGTATAAATTATGCCCCAGCTNCCCTAGCTATAATATTTAATTTAATACATACTAATGTTTTCATCCTAAACAATCGAAACTCCATAAACCACCTAAAATCTGAAGGTAAAAATTTCGAGATCCACGATTTTTACGATTAACCTAAAACTACAGCCAAGAGCACATCAGACTATGCATTTTTGTGGCAAAATAAACCCTATTTCATCTGTATAAGATACTACATAATCATCGTTGCAGTGCTTTCGATCGTGCTGACGTTGAAACATGTAATAATCTCGCGATCAATTAACGTCTCTAACGCTCAAACGATAAGGTTTAGTTTAGGGAGCAGGTATTACGAAACTGGTTCCCAACCTCAGATCATAGAAGGGAATAGATGTGAAACGGGGGCGTGGCGCGTGTCTCCGCGATATGCCCAGAAACGAATATCGGCCGCGTAGCTAGGTTAGTCGCGTTTCAGTCGTACTAAGGAAATGTTCTCCGATATTTTGGATAATGCGTCGTTACGTGCAATAAAACAAGTGAAACGAAGAACTACAGGAACAATGGAGTCATTTACTACATGTAAGTATTGCAAATCCATTGGTAGGTATTTTGCTTCTAAATAAAAAAACTAAACATTTTTACGAACGAATTCATTGCCGTAACAGTTACTGCGATATCGAAATCAGGGGTGATAAAAATTCTAACACACTTGTACATTGACGATTTAGTTAGCAACCACTTTATGTCATGCTCAACTACTGCGCAATGTATTTAATATCTTCCGATATCCATTGTCGTGTGAAAATACACAGTACGGCCGCATGTGCCGGTCGTAACATAGTGCCGTGCTCGTGTTCTAATGCGGTTTCCTATTATCGATAAATAGAAGTAAATTATAATTTTCTATTTTGTAATTCTAAATAAAAAATGATGTGTTACTTGCGATTATAAGATTTTACAAAAAAAATAATAACAGTAGAAGTAATTAGTAACTGTCAACTATGTAATTACTATAAGAGCTAGTTGAAAGCCTAATATAGGCATTATTTTTGATAAACATATGCGGTACGCAGATCGCCATAATTAAAAAGTAAATGCGTGATAGTAGTTAATAATAATAAAAAGGTTTTCATACATAAGCATTTTGTGAAAACAGTTTCGAGCCTTGTCCCTAGCGATTTAAAGTATCGATATCTTATCGACTCCATTTTATCTTTGTTCTCTCACTAGCGTTTTCTAAGTGTGCGTGACGTAACGCGGCCATTGATTGGCCATAAGGCATGCCTTCTGGCCAATCACAGCACTTTTAAGCCGGTTGCACATGTTGTCGTAGACTCTGAGTCGCTTTGTTTTTACACAGTTGAATGTGTGTGTGGGAGCTGTGGTGGGGGAAATGTGGGGACACTGGTTCTCGTTGTAGTTACGCGCGACTTCATATCTATTCTCTTTCTATGATCTGAGTTCCCAACTAATGCAGGCCGCCATTATCAACACATGTCAGTCTGACCCACGTTTAGGACAACACAGACGAGCGTCTGAAACGCTGCGTATAGTCTGAAGATTTTGACGATCTCTGATCAACAAAACATCTAGGTATGCTAATATTACAATTAATGCGAAAGTAAAATTACTGGACTGATTTTGATAAACTTGACAATGTTCTAGTAATCGCACAATGACTCGCAGAAACCGCAGTTAAAAATTAAATGTAGTTAACTATAAATAAACGGTTTAAACTGAATAATCCATCAAGTGACACACATTTTATCATATCAAATTAATAAATTGATAACCAAAAATTAACATAAAGATACAAGTGTATTATTTAATTTTGATCGGCTTTAGATACGATTTTTCATTGAAGTAAAGTCGACATAAGACTATTTTTATTTTCAAATTAGCATAGCAATAATAGGTACTACATAAGATAAAAAAATAAAGAAAGATAGAAAACATGATTACTTGACACCAAATCAGGTATCAGTGTAATTTTGACTACCGTGGTTCATAGTACAAGTAGTTGAAAACAAAATTGATACGTGACTTTGCATGTATCTGTCATTTAATTAAAGAACGGGATAGTTCATACAGTTAACAGCACACTAGACTACACATTTTCTTTGCAAACTCGCATCTATCATCATTAAATAAGACACAGTTTCGCTGAACAAAGTACCTACATTTTCGCATTATATTCACTAAATGCATTCAAAATGATCAATGCATTTTAAATCAGCCCATTGTGCTATTGTTTGAAGTTTCCCTTGGGTTAAGGCCGTCTTGAGGCAAAGTAAGAAAGAATAGACGAGGCATAACATAATAGAGGTTAAGTGTTTGACATGTTTTTTGTCTTTTTGTTTAGAATCGGCAATCCTTGATTTATGCAAGTATAAAAATCGGAAATCTAGTAATATTTTACGGACAAATGGATGATAGACAGAAGACAGACTTGAATCAATATCTCAATAATTATGTACTTATTTACTGCCGATAGTAAATTGTTTTGAAACAATATGACAAATATTTTGCTTTTTAATCTTGTCATTAAAAAGCAATTTTATTACAGATAAAAAAGTTATAGTTTTAATTGAATGACAGATAATGTGAACGACAGATACTATTTATTGCATACCAATAAGACAAAAATTAACAATTAAAAGAAATATGAAAGGAAGTAGGGCAGAATTTAGTTAAAAATCGCTAAACGTTCCTACGTCACGTCAGTGGACGTAGGACGTCACGTTCAGTGTTTGAAATAAAAATACAGAGTTTAATAATATTTGTACTATACTTCATGGCACTATGGTGGTAAAACTAGCGTTAAAAACGCCCGTCTGTAGAGCACAAACGTGACATCAATCGGCCCACATGGTCGGGAGAACGTGGATAAGGCTGTTCGGTTTCGAAGAAGAAATTATACGTGCGTTTAAAAGATAATTAATTAAAGTAAAAAGAAAAATACTGTGTGTATTTGCAGTAACAGGGGTAGACGAATTTTGGGACACCCTGTATAAACAAACTTTTGAACGTGAGCTTGAGTTTGAATCTAATTTTGAACGTCGATTCATAATACTAGTTATACATATTATTAATAATACAGACACATGGCAACCAGAAACTTTAATTATGTGAATATTAACCTATCAAGGTTTAATGACATTTGTTATTTGTTTTTGAATTTTAATTTGAACTTCGTCGTTCGTGGGTTCAATTCCCGCCTTAGGCAGTTCGATTTTTTCAAGTTATTTATAATTTTCAAATTAATTTGAACTTGTTCTAATATGTAAATAACCAACTAATATTAGATTTAAGAGACATACTTCTTTAAAACGTAAACCATTACTAAAAGTAAACAGATTTGAAACTCACACACAAGTAAAGCATTGGATTGAATACGATCGACAGCACATCAAGTAACCCATAATAATGAAGTAATTTCAACTTTATTATTTCGAAACAAGCTTTCTATTTGAAGAAAATTTCATATTTTATTTTGAGAGATTTATAAACACACTTTTCGTTATCATACAAATACGATTGATACTACATTTGTTTAATATTTGTAATACAAAGCGATACTGATTCATAAAAGTCGATCTGGTGATTACTATATCAATATTTCCTTACATATAATTATAAAAACGTCACCCTTTTTACACTAATTTGATTGAACTGTGAACGTGTTAACGAGCGAACTTTACACTTAGGTTAATGGCACCAAATATACCACAATATCTTAACTAACTAACAAACTAGACTTTTGTATTAATAACAATGGCATTCCCATCAAAATGCGAATGTAATTCCTTTATCGTCCCGAAATTCCAACAGTATGTAGGTATACTTTCCGGGAAACGATAACAGCTAAATAGGGAACCCGTTGGGAATCCCATAACTCCGTAAATAACAATGGACGCAAAATGACCAACTAAGTCTGGGTTTCTCAAACGTTCGACTACACAAACCCCTTAAAACTAGCAAATGAACACCCCAAAAAAAATACAATTGACTATTGAAAAAATAAGGTTTTAATTTCAATGAATTGCCAAAGAAATGTTAATGTGAAGAAACAAGCACTGTTTCTTGTCGCAAATGGAGTCAACTTCAGGAGTAACTAGCGGCCGCCCGCGACTTCGTACGCGTGGTTCGCGTTTTACCCCCTTAGGGGTTGAATTTTGCAAAATCCCGTCTTAGCGAGCACCTAAGTTCTAACAGGAACCCCCATGCAGAATTTGAGACCCCTAGCATTTGTAGTTTCTGAGATTTCGTAACGAGTGAGTCTGTCAATCAGTGACCTTTCGCTTTTTAAGATATAGATTTTGGACAATTTTAAGTCTGGCACATGGGAGTTCGCGTACCCCACTTTGAGAAACCCTGAGCTAAGTCAACGTGTAACACCTTATCAACACTTACACCTATCATGAGCTATCTACGCCACTNAATCTCAGGACTTTTCTGTTCATTAAAAATTACATTTCTTGAAACTGTAATTCTTTTAGTGTTCGGGTCATACATTTTGTAATTGTTATTATCATAGCCAACTAACATCATTTTGTGGCTTTTACAATCCAGCTTTGTTCTCAACTGATCAGGTACATGGACATATCCTTCACACCCAAAAACTCTGATATGATCCAAGGCAGGTTTTACACCACTCCACAGTTCTATAGGCGTCATATTAGGAGTTTGGCTAGAGGATGTGCGATTCAATAAGTAAACAGCACAGTTGACTGCTTCTGCCCACAGATTGAGTGGTAGACTACGGGCATACAGCATGGACCTAGCACTTTCTACAATTGTCCTGATTTCTCTTTCAGCCCGCCCGTTTTGTTCAGGAGTGTAAGGGGCTGTGAGTTCATGAGAGATACCTTCACTGTCTAAATATTCTTTAAAGTCTTTGCTTGTGTATTCTCCACCATTATCAGTATGAAATGTGCGCACACCATGTGAAAAAAAGTTTTTGATTTTTGCATTATATTTTTTAAAGCAGTTCAACACATCACACTTGTTTTTTAGAAAGTACACATATCTAAAACTTGTCGCAGCATCTTTAAAAATGACAAAATATTTCATACCTTGTACAGACGGCACATTGAATGGTCCACAAACATCACTGTAAACAACATCACCTGGTTGCAGTGGTCCCCTGTTGGATTTCTGGAATGGTTGACGAGCATGCTTGCCAAAAGCACAGCCCTCACATACAAACTTGTCACTGTCTGATAAGTCCACACCAGTTATCACATTATTTTTACACATTTTCTCAATTTCTTTGACATTCAAGTGTCCTAAACGTTCATGCCATGTTTTTAAGTCCAATTTTTGCACAACATTACACACAGGATTTTGAACTGTTTTCACTTTTAACTCATATAGATTGTTACTTTGTAAAGATGCACACATCACTATTTTATTGTCTTTGTAAATCAAAGCATCAGCTTCTTTCTTCACAATAATATAGCCTTGCCTTGTCACAGCTCCTTCAGACAAAAGGTTTCTTCTCAGGTTTGGTACATAAAGCACCTTTTTCAAGATACTTGTCTCCCACTGTCCATTGACACACCTACTAATCAGAACATTTCCTTCTCCTATCACTTCTATTGCTTCTTGATTTCCTAATTTCAGTGGAGATCCAGTATATTCATACAGTTCCACAAAACTTTCTCGTTTGTAACACATGTGAGCAGAGGCACCGCTGTCCAATATCCATTTGCTGCTCTCATCATCATCTTTCCAGTTAGCACTTGCTACATTGAAAGCTAACATATTTCTCTCCCCTTCATTTTGTTTTTGTTTGGGAGCTCGGCAATCTCTTGCGAAGTGACCTCGCTTTCCACAATTGTAACATATAAAACGGTGTGATTTCTCTTCTGATTCTTTATTTGCCTTAGAAGATGGGACAGGTTTTCTTTTTGCACTCTGTTTTGCCACTAATAAAGCTGTTTCATTCTCATCTTCAACATTCAAGCTGGCCTCCTCGTCCAATAATCGAGCAGTCAAGTTGATTATTGTTTGTTTACTTGAATCAAGTGACATCCAGGCCTGACGGAGAGATCTGTACTTAGGAGGNTAAAGATGTAGATTTTGGACAATTTTAAGTCTGACACATGGCGGTTCGCGTACCCCACTTTGAGAAACCCTGAGCTAAGTCAACGTGTAACAGCTTATCAACACTTACACCTATCATGAGCTATCTACGCCACTCGTGACAAACGTCCTGATGCTCTCGACCAAATACTCTGAAGTGCCCACAGCGACCACTAACGCTAAGTAACCTGTATAATGCACCGCCTTCAAGAAACACCAAGTCTTATCACAGAAAACCGCCAAAGAGAGCAGATGGAGGTAACTATGAGGATTCACAACCCTCCACAGTAAAGTCGCCATAAAAAACGTACCAGATTTAAACGTAGCTTCTCTTTTGAACACATCATATTCAGTACAATTCTCAAGCACATCCTGATAAATATCTATGTATCTATTCCAAGCTAGAGAAGATAGAACCATCTGGCCGGAAAATAAGCCTAATACTTGAACTATCCTTTGGAAGGTCACTTTAGTTTTGTACGAAATTCCTATCTCTGCTGCAGTGTGGTCCTTTTCTATATCCTCACTGGAATTTATCTCTTTCAACTGATGATAAGGCAGCGTGCTGACTGGAGTACCCTTGTATCCTCGCCTGGGAGGGTTGTTTTTCAAGTAAATTACTATACCAGTCATCATAGCAATCACCCCTATCAAATCGCATACCCCATCGACCCAATAACCCAAAGTGCCGACTTCTGACCTCTCGCCTTTAATATGCTTTCTCTCTCTCGCCACATGGCCATCAAGGTCGTCTAAAAACATTCTGATTTGAAATAACACGATCCCGACCCGCCGGGCTGCCAAATTCTGGCAAGTCAGGAGCTTCCCGCCGATTATTGCCACGAGAACGTGGAAGAAAGAAATCATATTTGGCGTGATGAATAACAACTTGTCAGATATTCTGAGACTTACATCGACTATGGCACTTAAAGGTCCGTAGATATAATGGTTAATATGGTCCACCATTAGCCCCTTCACCGTGGGATGGCATAAAGGATTTATATTACACGGCACCCAAATCACATCCTCGTAATTCGGGAGCACCCTGTCAGTCTTCCGCGTCGACGATTCCTGAACAGTCACATTCTCCTGGACTTGGAATGCGTCAATTTTGTAATTTTGTATCCGCAAAAACAAAAACGTATCCATATAAATGCAGTATACCACTATTATTAGTAAGAGACACGTTAGTATTTTACTAGCTTGAGACGAAGGCCACATCATTTTGCTGTACTATATTCCGTTTTATATATATATAGAAAGTTCTAATCCAATACTATCTACGAGGGCAAACTGGACACGTGTGGTGTTCGTAACAATATATGGTTTCTGATGTAATTTTAACGCTGCACAAACATTGGTTTTATAAATACCCCACGATGATGATGGTTTATGTGGAGCAGGCGTTCCGGTGTCGGCAAACCCCACGCAGAATCGTTCTATTTTGAAACTTCAAAACAATGCGTAACACTTGAAACACTTAAAACTTGTAAATGAACGTGTACGTTCTCCAGTTGAAGTCGTTTTTTTCGGCGATCCCAAAGAGGTTGCTTGAGCAGTACAGATGCATTTTACCGCGTCAAATCGCGTGGATTTTTTCTCTCGAGCCCATGGGTGCTGGAGTTTCACAGTTCACAGTTTCACACACAAATCGAGGCGCATTCACTTTGTTGTGTAAACAAAACGCGCGAAGAATGGCCGAGTGAACTGACCGTTTGTTTCTTATTTCACAAGCACATGTACACAGAACTCGTCGGTTTAAACATCTTTGTAAATACACAGAAAGTATGCATGCTGCGACAAGCACAATGCGTGCGCACCGTTGGATCGCGCGGGGCGTAGTGTGCTCGTGTGGTCGCGTCGTTCACTCTTGCTGGCACCAGAACACCGACAGCTGACCTTAACCCTCGCACTTAAAGCTCACTTTAGCCTGCACAAGGTCTAGACAAAAGATGTAAAAGTCGCCGATTGACATAATAATGGGACCCGAAACTTAGGGACCGTATTAACAAACCAGAAACTGGAATGCTGGTACGAGCGATATCGGCAACTACGTTGGTATAGGTACGTAATGATTAATCAATTTTTTATTGTTCAGAACGGCTTAAAAGTAATTCTTTGGATAAAGTTTCGACATAGGATATGTATTAATGTATCTTTATGTTACCAAGCAACATTGTATCTAAAAGTTATTATAAACAACACGTCAAAATCATTTGCGATTATTTTGAATAATAATTAAGTATTCTTATTCTATTTTTCAATAGATAAATAGGAAATTTGCTAAAAAAATTTTTTTAAAGAAAATTTTTTCCCTTTTTTTCTTTTTCGTTGCCTTTTTTATTAATTCTTATTTTTAATACAATAACAAACGTAAAAACTCAAACCATTTGAAGTAATAAGAAAAAAAGAAACCAGATACTATTTACATTAACTAAACATAATTAGTCATACTACAAAGCAGATAGCGCTCTTAATTTATATGTTTCATTCAAATAAAATAATTCTTCATAATTTATTTTGATAAGATAAGTTATCTGTGTATCGATGGACGCCATCATTTACATTACAATATTTATATTTATTGTTGTTATCTTTACTTCTATCACACCATGTTTTAGGAAGGTGATAAAAATTTCATTATTTTTCTGATCATGACGATAATGAGCAATTATAGGCGCCTATTAATTAATTAATACCTACTTAATGGATAAACACCTAAAGATTAATAAAAATAAAACACATATTTACAAAAGATAAAAACTCGATAAAAAGCTTGTGCATTACTATGAGAATGTTAAAATAAAAAGTAGTTATTTAAATTTCTTTTTCATTCGTTTCTTCTTCCCTTCCCTTTCCCTTAATTATGAATTTACGCAAACGCAGGCTAAAACAGTCTACACTATCAAGTTAAAATTCGGCTCCTTATATTGTTGCAATTTAATAAATAATAACGAAATTCTTTTAGTTTTTAGTTATTGAGAATTGCATCCCAAATTAAAATGTTTGAAACTTGAATAAATATATTACCGTAGGCAGGAATTTAACTAACGATCAGTGACCTGGAAAGCGATAATGGGTTCAATGAAATCCAAGATAATCAACTTTAAAAAAATCCTTTATGTCTGTCTGTGACAGTCCAACTTTAACATAATATTCATCGTTTACTGAACGAACGTTCAACTATAACTGTTCAATGGAAAATATTTAAAATTTAAACATTGAATTTTCCAATTAAAATAACTTGAAAACGTAAATAATTGACGTTTCCAAGTCGATTCGGCAAGGTTTTAAGAATGCTGACTTTGTTATGATAATTATCTTTTTGTTTTGTTTTAATTTTAGTTAGTAATTTTAAATTTTTAGTTTTTAAGTAATTTTAAGTTAATGTTATAAAATTTATTATCTTAATGTTTATTAAATAAATAGATTTCATTTTATTTTATTTTCATTTATTTTTCCTTTTTAGGGTTCCGTAGCCAAATGGCAAAAAACGGAACCCTTATAGATTCGTTATGTCTGTCTGTCTGTCCGTCCGTCTGTCCGTCCGTATGTCACAGCCATTTTTTTCCGAAACTATAAGAGCTATACTGTTGAAACTTGGTAGGTAGATGTATTCGGTGAACCGCATTAAGATTTTGATGCCAAAATAAAAAAATAATAATAAATATTGGGGGCTCCCCACACTTAGAACTGAAACTCAAAAAAAAATGTTTTTCATCAAGCACATACGTGTGAGATATCTATGGATAGGTCTTCAAAAATGATGTCGAGGTTTCTAAAATACTTTTTTTCTAAACCGAATAGTTTGCGTGACAGACGCTTCCAAAGTGGAAAAAAGTTGGTCCCCCCCCCCCCCTCTAACTTCTAAAACCTTTACCTTACCGCGTAAATCTTTCATACTCGTACTAATAACTTAAATAAAGAATGTAAAAATTTAATTTCATAAATCAATGGTACGGAACCCTCTGTCACAGAATAAGTAATAGTATCGGTGCGCGAGTCCGACTCGCACTTGGCCGGTTTTTTAATTACATAATATTATTATGTATTTTTTTTCTTACGTGATTATTTTAGAGGCGACTCGAGACAAATATGCGAACATCAGGCCTCCCCAACCCATCTGGCCAGCGTGGGGAGTGTAAGACAAATGCCCCATTTGCCTCTGGTAGGTTAGAGGGCGGTGCTCCTGTAGTGGAGACTAAATGACCTGATGATGATGACGTCATTATACACACAGAAAAGGAACACGTTGACCTTAGTTTTGCCTTTATTTAACGTTGAACAAGGTGACTTTTACTCTGCAACTATTACACTCGCAACTTCGCAACGTCTCGAGCAAGTAACATTTTTTTACAATATTCAACTTCTCGAAGGCCCAGAACACACGGTGAAACGCAATTGCAACGAAACTGCAACTTCTAGTTACTTTTGAGTTGCATCTAAGTTTCTGCCATAGATTCCGTTGAGAGACCACACATGACGCGACCTGTTTGAAACCGGTTTGAAATGGTCACTCAAAAGTAACTAGAAGTTGCAGTTTCGTTGCAATTGCGTGCGGAGAGTTGTATCCGCCTTTACAACCGATGTGAACAACGCCTCAACGTGACCACGACCGCTCTGCCAAGAGCGTAACGAATAAGAAGAAGATTTTAGTGAACTTCGTCGTCATCATCATTTCAGCCACAGGACGTCCACTGCTGAACATAGGCCTCCCCCAATGACTTCCAGATTGGCCTATTGGCAGTGGCTAGCGTCCAGCGCCTTCATAGGTTCATGTGATTTCATAGGCTCCTTATTTATAAAAAAAAAACTAACTTCCCGCCCGCGGCTTCGCCCGCGTTATCTCCGTTACAGAAAAACTTTATCGCACACGTCCCTGTTTCAAAAACCGGGAAAAGAACTATCCTATGTCCTTTCCCGGGACTCAAACTATCTCTATGCCAAACATCAAAATCAGTTCAGTGGTTTAGGCGTGAAAGTCACACAGACAGACAAACACAGACAACTTTCGCATTTATAATATTAGTAGGGATTCTGAAGTAAATGAATAGCGATATTCCCATGGCGTTTTGTTGACAGCTCATGAACTCATAAAAAGTATGTCAATTTGATGTGTAAACTACTTTAATTACTGTAAACTATAAGCTTCACTGTGTGAATAACCCGTAAATTAATAACGACCATTCGAACAGTTTTTCGGCTCAAATTAGATCATCCTGAAGACTGTTGATTGCTGGTGATTAAATAATTAACTCAATCGGCCGTCTGAATGGACGTATTTTTATTTCGTTCCGTCATGAGATGGATACGCTAGCGACTGCAAGTCAAGATATACGTTTGTTGTTTCAATATGGCTACTATTACAACGGCATAAGATGCTAATGTTGATCCAAACGTGTAAGACCAAAGAGAATAATAGAGAAATACTAAAGAATTTTATCGCTAAAATGCCAAGGCGATAATAATGAATAAGCACTTACAAGGCAGATCTCATACAACATCAGGTGCAATTGCGGTCAGCCTTGTTCTGCAATTCTGCATACAATTTAACAAAATAAGGCTTCCTTGTCAGGACTACGGAACCCTAAAAAAAGAAGATTTAAGATCTGAGTTTAAACTGGTTCACTGGACATTATTTGTTGCTAATGATCTCTCACCCACAAGGTGGACCAACGACCTGATAAAGGTAGCAGGAACGCGCTGGATGCAGGCCGCTACCAACCGTGCGATGTGGAAGTCATTGGGGGAGGCCTATGTTCAGCAGTTGACGTCCAGGAAATGATGATGATGATCTCTAGTATGACCCCATTCAAGAAAAAGGTCGAATCCCTGTCACCCTGTATTTTACCTGATCTAAGAGGCAAAGTGGGACGTCCACCCACAAGGTGGATTGACTCCACAAAGATAGCAAGAAGGCGTTGGAACGACCTCATAAAGCTACCACAATCTGGAAATCATTGGGGGGGCCTATGTTCAGCAGTGGACGTCCTGTGGCTGAAATGACGATGATGAAAATGCAAATAGAAAGAAAATAAAGAAACATTTATTGCCATGAACATCACAAAAGACAAGAAGGTTAATAAAAAAAAGCAAATAAGACAGAGGTGACATAAAACATACAATGGAAGAGAAAGTAAACTGAGCAGTGCCACCCTGTCGCACAGCGATGCCCATCACAATGGGACCCCGCTCAGCATATGCCGTGGCCCACGGTGACGAAGGCCACGACGCTGGTTTTCAGTGTGCCCTAAATGGAGGATTTGCTTACACTCAATTCATATTGTAACTCAACAGTTATCAGTTAAACACTTGTCATTCTGTTGTTAACAATGACAGGTGAAAGGTTAATGAGATTCTATCTACCGAGTCGCGGCGAGAGGAGCCATCACGCGATTGGGGTAACCACACGACAGTTAAGAACCGGAGAGAACGGGATAATCTTTATTTTTCCTTTTAACAGACTTGAAAAAAGGACGAAGTTTTTATTCTGTTGTAAAAAACATACAAAAAATTGTTGATATCCACCAGGGAATAAATTGAAAGTATATTGTGTCAGTTAATGTTATTATAATGAGTCAAAGATTTTGTATAAATACTTAAAAATACTAATACTACACACAGAGTAGGGCTGTCTGTTTTTTTTTTTCACTGATAAACCAAGTTGAATGCATTTCGGCATAGATGACGTTTTGCTGAAAAACTATTATAAAAAATCTAGTATGAAAATGTATTTAACATGGACCTATCATGGTGCCCCTACACGCGATGAGTTGTCAATGATGAAATACCGTACGAGAGAATATTGTTTTTCGACTAAAAACGTTCGTCTGCACACCTAGACTTCCTTACACAAAAGAAAACAAGTGCATATACTGAACATAGGTTGTACAACTACAATCTATGTTCAGTATTTCCACAAAATAGATTTGAGTTATTTTNGGTATTTTTGAGTCTTCCAGTGACTTGGCCCACTTTTAGCTTGGTCCACGGGCCAAGTCCCTGGTTTGAATTTTTAAATAGTTTTTTTCAGGTGACTGGGCCCACCTTCAATGTTTCATCATCATCATCATCATTTCAGCCACAGGACGTCCACTGCTGAACATAGGCCTCCCCCAATGACTTCCACATCGCATGTCGCATCGACTTCAATATTTAATTAAGAAAATTAAACTTGGTGTTTAATTTTATTAATGAAACATTGAAACTCGATTGATGAAAAAGAAACTCGATTCAAAGCTTTGTTTCAAAGCTATTAAAGATTAGTATTTTCTGTATAAAATAGGTAGACAGAGGACATGATCACTTCTAACAAAAGATGAAGCGTTACAATCGGTAGTCCCGGGTTCGATTCAGACGTGCGTCATTTTTAACCGACTTCAAAAAAGAAGGAGGTTCTATGTTCGGCTATATGTATGTATCATTTTTTTTCTTTGTATGTTCATTACGAGAAATAAACTTGGACACCACACGTTACGTTTGACACGTAATAAAGTTTGGCACAAAAGAAGTTTTTACAAAGCTAAAAAAATTATAAATATTTTACAAGAAAACCTGAAGGGAGAATATAAACATAGAAAGGTTTCATCGCAATAAATAGTCGATATTAATACTCAAACGTTATCATTGTATCACTATTAGTCACCGCACTTAATGGGCAAATATTGTTATCGTTATCTTATTTAACCCGGTGTTAACACACAACCGCGGCAAACACTGGGCAACCGACTGATCGTGTTGACTTGGTAAACAAATAAGCGCCTGCCGTTTTTACTTAGCAAAATTACATGTTTACACTTTTATGAGAACTTACACGGCAAGCACTAAGCAAGCAACTGACTTGTTGCACGAAATAAGTGCGCCTGCCATTATTTTATTAGCAAAGTTACTTGACGACAGTTTTAGACAGCGCGGCAGCGGTTAGACAAGGCGTGATTGATTATTGCCCGTATTCACAAACATTACTATGAGGTCTCACAGTGCGCGTGGACGCACAGGGTAACACACGAACCAATCACAGAGCTCTATTCAACGCTGTGCATTCACTTAAGCAAGTATCGTTTGTGAATACGGGCGTATGTCTTGGTGAATTGGCTACGCCTGCCGTTTTCTTATTATCAAAGTTACTTGTCTTAACTTTCAAAGAAGTGGTTAGACAAGGCGATCAACTGATAATGTTGACTTGGTAAACAAAAAGAACATAATTAACTTTTAAAAAAAATAAAACCGACTTCAAATGCGTGAACACAAAAAAACTAAAAATTAAAAATATTGCGTATAAAAAAGTTCATCCCCAATTTTCCACCCTTGGGGGTGAACTATTTTCTTCAAATTCGCATGAAACCATCCTTTTGATAATACCTATTCAACAAAAAAATAATCGTTCAAATTGATTTATAATCGGCGGAGATATTGCGTATAAAAGAGTTCATCCCCAATTTTCCACCCTTGGGGGTTGTTTTTTCTATTATTAAATTTAAATGGGACCACCCTTGAGGTATTACCTATACGCCGAAAAAAGATTTGTTCAAATCGGTTCATAATTGGCGGAGTTTATCGCGAAACAAACATAGAAAAAGAAACATACGGGTCGAATTGAGAACCTCCTCCTTTTTTGAAGTCGGTTGAAAAAAGAAAACAAGACGCCTGCTGTTCGTCACTTTCTATTACGATGACGACAAATTACGACGTACTAATCCAGCATCGGCTGGATAATGATAGAAGAAACTTTGAATATTTCTAAAAGTTTAGTCAAATGTATGGAGTCATTATTTTGAGCTGCAGGTGATTTTAATAGATGATAGTAAAACAGATTATGTAAATGGATAATCTAGATTTCTTAGTAAACAAATCAACATAGAGCTAGAAAGAGATGTGTGTCATATTTTGTTGAATATTACACAATAACGATGCATCTTCAAAGCAAGCAGAAACAAATGCCTTAAAAAAATTTATACAAAATGTATTGCTTTAATACGATAAAAAGTAACAAAGCACTTACCTGAGGGACTTGAGTGGACTTTCCACATCCAGTTTCACCGATCAGGACCAACGTTTGATACTTCTCCAACAAATACAAGATATGATTCCGGTACTGGAACACCGGTAATCTTTGCCGTTGAGTCTCCAACGGTAAGTGATGGTGACGGTTGTAAACGAAGTTGGACCGAGCATCGTTGTCGGTTGCCAACGCTGAGTCTGTGTTCGGATTTATCAGCGTTTCTATGACACCATCTTTGTTGCGCGTTGGGTATAGGGGATCATCGTCACCTAAAATAAATCAGTAATTAAATAATGAATTCTCAATACAGTTGACTCGATAGCATTTGTTTAGTAACTGGAAAAACTGTCTCACTAATGCTTCTCTAAATTGTTATCAAAATTACAAAACCAGCTGCTCCAGCTTGGATAAAAAAAATACATTATTCCCAAAAAATTTTTCAAAATAAAAATTTTGTCTCGTTTAAACTGACTGTACTGAAAAAAAAAAGTACTACGCAAGTGTGGCATGTGACGTCATAATTTGGCGCATTTAGTAAGGATTCCAAAATGGTATAACACTTGGTAAATTCTTGCTGCAATGAGGATCAGTACTGTTGTAGAAAATTCAATAAAACTAGTATCTACGTTAATCTTTAAGACATAAGAAAGATATATCTTTTTGAATTATCCAAATCGGACCATTACTTACGAAGATATTAAGTAATAAACATAGGCCGTTTTTGCCGCTAAAAGTCAACGTACGCAGGGCCGCGTGACGTCACTATATCCGAATCGAGCGCAGCCGGCGTACTATTGGGATGGAAAATATTTTTTTCCAGCTCAACTATCAGTTTTAGAAAAAAACTTATTAAAACATTTATTCATCAAAATAAAGTAACCTATCGACCAGTAATTTTTAAAAATAAAAGTTGTGAAAAATAAGTATCGCTATGTCCAAAACCCACATTTTTATAGGATTCGATGCAATGCGGAGCTCAACTCATAACCAGTTTCTATGGGCTGGGGGGAGGGGCTAGCCTTACCCAGCTTCTGGCCTAGGGGGAGGNTTAGTCAAATGTTGCTGCAGGTGATTTTAATAGATGATAGTAAAACAGATTATGTAAATGGATAATCTAGATTTCTTAGTAAACAAATCATCATAGAGCTAGAAAGAGATGTGTGTCATATTTTGTTGAATATTACACAATAACGATGCATCTTCAAAGCAAGCAAAAAAAAAACGTAAAAAAATTTATACAAAATGTATTGCTTTAAATTTAATACGATAAAAAGTAATAAAGCACTTACCTGAGGGACTTGAGTGGACTTTCCGCATCCAGTTTCACCGATCAGGACCAACGTTTGATACTTCTCCAACAAATACAAGATGTGGTTCCGGTACTGGAACACCGGTAATCTTTGCCGTTGAGTCTCCAATGGTAAATGATGGTGACGGTTGTAAACGAAGTTGGACCGAGCATCATTGTCGGTTGCCAACGCTGAGTCTGTGTTCGGATTTATCAGCGTTTCTATGACACCATCTTTGTTGCGCGTTGGGTATAAGGGATCATCGTCACCTAAAATAAATCAGTAATTAAATAATGAATTCTCAATACAGTTGACTCGATAGCATTTGTTTAGTAACTGGAAAAACTGTCTCACTAGGTTATTACTTTTGATTACTAGCGAAAGGCATTTATTAGAAATCCATAAGTTAAATGTGCCATTGTACATCATATTATTATAAAACAAAGTCGCCTTCCTGTCTGTCTGTCCCTATGTATGCTTAGATCTTAGATTCTTCTTCTAAGGCTTAGATCTTTAAAACTACGTAACGGATTTTGATGCGGTTTTTTAAATAGATAGAGTGATTCAAGAGGAAGGTTTTTAAGAGTAATACATTGTAACTGTGCGAAGCAGGGGCGAGTCACTAGTTTATTACAAAATCATGTTTTAGCAACATTCTTTTCAAGTTACTTTTTAGGTTATGACAAGAAAAGTTAGCGCGCAATAATAAAAAAAAGTAACCAAGTATTACTTTAAATAGTAATAACAGTTAAAACTAATCTAACTAATCTTTCAAAGGTTTATTAATAATAAAATAATGTGAGAAAACTTACCGGGACGGATAAACTTTGGCCTCTGTCCTAACATGTTTTTATTTTATAAAGAACATTGAAAGAGATTAATTGATTAATATTATTTTTATACACTTAAACACTGCTTATTTTACAGAAATAATGGATAATAATACATAAAAATTGATAAAAGCAATTAACAACACAACCGCACTGTTTGTTTACAAATCGACTTTGGCTTTTGTTTTTTTAAATGCAGTGTTGCCAGTCGGGTCTTGTCAGAAATTACCAGAAATATAAAAAATGTAACCTTTTTGAATAAAAAGTAACCTTCATACGGGGGGGGGGGTGCGGAGCGATTGTGTAAGGTTGTTCATGGTAGAGGTGGGCGCCGATATAAAATTGGCCGGCGGCGGCGCGCCGACTTTTTGACCTCGGCGGCGGCGGCGTCGGCGGCGTGACCTTGTTTGACCTTTGTTCATTAGGTTTTTTTTTTAAATTTGCATTTTTAGTATCTGTCGTCAATACTAATCAGGTGATTTGCAGTTGGTTGGGGTTTAAGCCACTAGAGCAGTGGTTTACCTTAGTAAATTAGCTCTCTTGATCATAGATAGTACTTTGATATTTGGATAGCGGGTTTGGCTGAGATCAGGTTCTCGTGTAGTCCTTTATGATAAACCCAGCTGAAGCCGCAGCGAAAGCAGACGTACAGGATTCTTTCTTTTCCAAACATTTTACTGATTATGGTTGGTATGGTTTCTGTCAAAATTTATGTTCGGGTATACTATATTACATGGGTCATACTTAGGCAAAGGAATAAACGAGCAAGAATGATCCTTTTCCATAATTTTAACAATACAAATGTCAGATTAATTGAGCGATAAGAGGATTCGTTAGGCGACTTGCCAGCCTTATGGATAATTTCCAAAGTTAAGAGACTTGCGTGGTTCTCACTCAGTGTTATAATTGTCAAGACCATGACTTCATGGTGACCAGATCAAATGCAAGTGCTTTACGAGGGTCCATTTTGGCTATTTCTTTAGCTTAGCCATCTCTCTTAGCGTTAGTTCTTTCGTTTCAGCCGAAAGACGTCCTGCACCGCTCGCATCCAGGCACTTCCTGCGACCTTCCCCAAATCGTCGGTCCACCTAGTGGGAGGCCTGCCCACGCTACGTCTTCCGGCTCGTGGTCGCCACTCAAGAACTTTACTGCCCCAGCGGCCATCAGCTCTACGAGATATGTGCCCCACCCACTGCCACTTGATTTTAGCGATTCTGTGGGCTATGTCAGTCACTTTGTCCTCTTGCGTCTTTCGTCCTCAATTAGCATAGTAGGGATCAATCTTCTACTTTGAACTTGAGGAGGGTAAGCGGAAACATGGCGGTCAACTCCTCAGATAGTCAAGTACAAAGATGTCCAGAAGCAGAATACGAAAAGATACTAAATGAGCCCTCTCAAATCACAATGGGAAGGCTTGGTAGCACAGCACCTAGAATGGCGGGAGATTGTGTTGTCTAGAGGCCAGTCCGCGAATTTAACGAGCAGCGCACAACTGAACTCGACGCAAAACGCGATGATGTAAATCCCGTCCATCTGCCGCCATTCACTATAATTATGTTGGCGGCGGGTAATTACTCTCAATGTGCGAGGAGTTTGCCGCGAAGATCGGCTATGTAAGCCATCTTTGGGCGCACCAGCGCCGCTAAGACAGCTAAGTCGAAGTGGGCACCATGACCGAAATCGGTCGGATGAATCATCATCATCAGTAGGAATCACAGGCAGGCATAGCTGCTAGTCTCAGATCAAGTCCAATGTTTGATCTTACTTTTTTTGATTGAATTGTGGATTTTTTGGATTATCCGTGTCAATGGGTTTAAATAAACCGGCTTGTCATGTAGCAAAGGTCTGAGATTTTTCTTGTCAGTTCGCACTCATGTGTTACCGGACCTAATAAGCGGAGAACACTGACTACTTTGTTGCCTTCCAGAGGTTTTGGTTCCATTTGCATTCCAAGACATATTTGTCAATCTCTGCGTGAGTGATTCGCTTAAAGTATAGTCCAATAGTGTGGGTTGTCTGCCAGATGAAGGCGGGGATTTTTTTCTTGACAGCAAGAGGGACCGGTGCCGCTCGCGATCAATTATTTACTAGACCAAGCAGCAACTTGAATAATTTACTTGATTAACTGTTAATATAGTTAGTATTAAGTTATTCAATCAATTTATTGGTATGTCAACGGCATTAAAGAATAAATAGAATAGTTAGTTCTTCTGTTATATGGTTTACTGATGGGTCAAAAATATGCCCTAACGTAGGCTTTGGCGTGTATGGAGAACAGCCGAAGCTTAGGCTATCTCAAATCCTGGGTAAATTTTCCTCTATCTTTCAGGCAGAAGTCTACGCCATTATTAAATGTGCGGAAGCTAACCTGCGAAAAAATTATGCCAACCACATAATTTATATTAACTCAGTCAGGCCGCGCTGATGGCCTTAAAGTACAACTTAATCACCTCAAAGTTGGTAGAAAACTGCATGAGTCGACTGAATACCCTAGGAAAACGTAACAGAGTAACGCTGAGATGGGTTCCAGGTCACGCGGGAATCGTGGACAATGAAAATGCCGACAAACTGGCCAGAGCAAGAGCGGAATGAACACAATATGGTCCAGAACCCTTTTGTGGCATTCCCAAAAGTCTCGCTCGAATGACCTTGGAGAACATCTATTTAAACAAATCCTTTAAGGCATGGTCAGACACGCCAGGATTAAAGCTCAGATCATTCCAAAGCTCTCATAAAAGCCTATGACCGAAAATGCTCTTAGCAGATCATAGGACTGAGTAGGATCCAAATGCGCATCTTAGTTCGAGCCTTCACTGGACACTGCAGCTTAAACAAGCACTTGTCCACTATGGGACTGTCCGAATCAAGAACGTGCAGGATGTGCCAAGAGGCAGATTAAACGCCACTACACATTCTCATGGACTGCGGACCTTTGATGCGCAAGCGGAGCTTACACCTGGGCAAACACATCCTAAGCCCACAAGATTTAAAACATGTCACCCCCCAAAAGATACTGCAATTCCTAATGGATGCAGGACTCGGAGGCGCACTGTATGGAAAATAGCGGCGATCACAAACAATAGATCGGTCCAGTCGCAGTGATACTAGGACTTTATTGAACTAGAATAGCCTCTCAGCTCAATAAAAAAGCGTTCGAAACACAAATTAGTACAGTATAGGAGAGGAATAAATTGCAAATAGTTTGTACAGTATCAGTATCGGCGCGCCGACAGCTGGTCGTCGGCGGCGGCGGCGTGAAAAAATTCGCGGCGGCGGCGGCGCGCCGGCGTGGCGCCCACCTCTAGTTCATGGATGGTTAAATTCGAAATTTTGACCATTCCATGAAGACCGAAAAGTGACCGGTCGTATAAAACCGTTTCATGGATTTGCGTTTTATTATCAAAAAAACATTTGCTAAAACTCATTGTCTTTAACAAATAATAAATCAAATTCAAGTTTAAATGCATAATTTTTAAATTATCACTATTAAAATTTTATACTGAATAACCTGTAAAGTTAATTCTACAATTTCTGAAAAATCACCTAAAAGTAACCTTTTCATTAGTGTAACCTAAAAGTAACCACAGCAGTTCAAAAGTAACATAAAAGGTTACAAAAGTAACCTAAAAGGTTACAAAAGTATCCTTCTGGCAACACTGTTTAAATGATATTTTTGTTCTCACAACAAGTCAAAGGAATATAAAAATGTCGCGCTTACTGAACTAAGCTTTATTTTTATAATTCGGTTCATAAAAATACACATTTAAAACCAACACATGTATTTTTCGTAGGATTTAAGTAGGTACTTTCCTCACATAATAACTCATCCTCATCTCATCTCATTCTCACTCATCAATAACTTAATGAACGGACGAAATATCCGAATTTCCTTTTGAATGTCTTTGAGATGTGATTGATAGCGCAACTTGGTGGCGCAGTTATATCTTGCAAATTATTCTGCGTTTGATTCCTGGTGGCTCATTCAATAATAAGCTTAAGTTAAAAGTCCGGATAGGATTTTCATATGAAGATTTGTTTTTTTAACTTAAGGGTCATTCATTAGTATATTGCCAAACCATAAAATTTTTACATTAAAACCTTAGATTAATAAAACCTAGATGGATAGTCTTCATACAAACGCTTCGTCAATCTGTGGTCAAGAGTGAGGCAAAAATCTTATGTCATTTATAGTGTCTCAATTTTGTTGGGGAGTGNCAAATGTATGGAGTCATTATTTTGAGCTGCAGGTGATTTTAATAGATGATAGTAAAACAGATTATGTAAATGGATAATCTAGATTTCTTAGTAAACAAATCAACATAGAGCTAGAAAGAGATGTGTGTCATATTTTGTTGAATATTACACAATAACGATGCATCTTCAAAGCAAGCAGAAACAAATGCCTTAAAAAAATTTATACAAAATGTATTGCTTTAATACGATAAAAAGTAACAAAGCACTTACCTGAGGGACTTGAGTGGACTTTCCACATCCAGTTTCACCGATCAGGACCAACGTTTGATACTTCTCCAACAAATACAAGATATGATTCCGGTACTGGAACACCGGTAATCTTTGCCGTTGAGTCTCCAACGGTAAGTGATGGTGACGGTTGTAAACGAAGTTGGACCGAGCATCGTTGTCGGTTGCCAACGCTGAGTCTGTGTTCGGATTTATCAGCGTTTCTATGACACCATCTTTGTTGCGCGTTGGGTATAGGGGATCATCGTCACCTAAAATAAATCAGTAATTAAATAATGAATTCTCAATACAGTTGACTCGATAGCATTTGTTTAGTAACTGGAAAAACTGTCTCACTAAGAGTATTTTATTGGCCGATAGTTGTGCCCGATTTTAAATTGTATGAAGAATCGGCCAAATCGAATCGGTGTAGTGTGTGCACTCCCATACACGCCCATACTGATCAACTGCCCGACTTAACTATCGGCCGACGAAAAATCAACTGTGTGCGCCTACTCTAAGTTATTACTTTTGATAACCAGCAACAGGCATTTATTAGAAGTCCAGAAGTTAAATGTGCCGTTGTATGTACCTACATCACCACATATTACAAAACAAAGTCGCTTTCCTGTCCGTCTGTCCCTATGTATGCTTAGATATTTAAAACTATGCAACGGATTTTGATGCGGTTTTTTAGATAGATAGAGTGATTCAAGAGGAAGGATTTTAAGTTTGATACATTGTACCTGTGCGAAGCAGGGGCGGGTCGCTAGTTTATTATAAAATCATGTTTTAGCAACATTCTTTTCAAGTTACTTTTTAGGTTATGACAAGAAAATTTAGCGCGCAATATTAAAAAAAAGTAATCACGAATTACTTTAAATAATAATAACAGTTATTAACAATAAAATTATGTGAGAAAACTTACCGGGGCGGATAAACTTCGGTCTCTGTCCTAACATCTTTTTAATTTCTAAAGAACATTGAAAGAGATATTAATTGATAAATATTATTTTTATACACTTCAACACTGCTTATTTTACGGAAATAATGGATTAAAATACTTATAAATCGATAAAAAAACACAACCGCACTGTTTGTTTACAAATCGACTTTGACTTTTTTTTTTTAATGATATTTTTGTTCTCACAAGTGGTCCAAGTCACAATAAGTCAAAGAAATATAAAAATGTCGCGCTTACTGAAAGATTTATTTTTCTAATTTGGTTCATAAAAATACACATTTAAAACCAACATGTATTTTTCGTAAGATTTAAGTCTTTCCTAACTCACAGAATAAACTCATCCATCAATTAATAATTTTAATGAACGGACGAAAATCCGAATTTCCTTTTGAATGCCTTTAGAGACTGAGAGTCGATGGCGCAGTGGTGTGGTGGGGTGGCGCAGTTATCCTGCAAATTATTCTGCGTTTGATTCCTAGTGGCTCATTCAATAATAAGCTTAAAAGTCCGGATAGGATGTTAATATGAAGATTTGTTTTTCTAATATAAGGGTCATTGGTAAATTCCCAAACCATAACATTTTTACATTAAAACACAACACAATTAATAAAAAACATGTTTTATTACAAATATTTTACACCTATTCCAAGTAGGTATGTAATTTGCTAGTTGGAAACATCAGAATTCCAAGCTTTCGGCAAGGATTTCACGTTTAACGGATGACTTGGCACAACGGAATCTCCCGGATGCCCTTCCTCTGTCTCATAATGCGTAGTAGATTCTGCAGGAGTTAAATATCTTGGTATCGTATGGGTAAATTGGGCTGCTAAGTTTGGAAGGGTTGATNGGAAGTTTCTTCACCCTGTACTAAAATCTGCCTCACCTTTCGTGCACTGACTATCTATCTAGGTTTTATTAATCTAAGAATAAAACACAACACGATTAATAAAAAATCATGTTTTATTACAAATATTTTACACATATCGATACCTCTGGGCTCAAAGGTCGTAAAGGACAAAATACCGAAAATGAGTTATTTATACAGTTTTACTCAAAATTTAATTCTCTATCGATCTGTATATTTAGTTTGTCGAAATTCCCAAAAAAAGTGCCTTTACGACCCATCATATTTGATAAGCTGAACAGAATTCATCGTGAAAATTGGGATGTAAATACCATTTGATTTTTTAGTACAGTTACCATGGTAGTAAAGAACAAGTAAACACAATTTTTTGGGCGTATAATGTACATGTAGTATATCTATTGTCCTATACAACCTTACATTTTCATACCAAAGTCTAAATATTTTGTCCTTTACGCCCTTAGATTATCTAAACAAATATTGTAAAAATCTACACAGTGAGGATATTAAAATAACTGTGAAGGTAAATTTTATAGATGTTTCTTATAGTATTTAAGTATGTGCGTTTGGAACAAACGAAAGAACCTAAAAAATCATTAAAAATATGTAATAAAACTATTTTATAGTGTAACATTTATGTGATTCGTACATATAAAATGATGACATCTACCCACATCGGGTAAAGTAATGTTGCTTTTTATTATTTCTCATATTTGAAGAAACATATTTGACAAATACCTTTGTCAGGTAAAAGATAATTATTAAAAGATGATTAATTTAAGAAAATAAAAACATGCTATAAAATAACGTATTACCTAATTAAGTTAGGATAGTCATCATAAAAATTGAAAAATCTTGATTTGTTCCGAAAAAATCATGAGAAAAAAAAGTCTTACCGTAAAAAGTCTACCTTACTGTAGTACCTTAGGTGTCATTATTTTGTATGCACAAATGACACAAAATGCTACACTTAACAATTATTTTTAACGACTTCCTAGTAATTTTGACTAACGCCCTTGGTCAAAACCACTTTTGAGTTTTGACTGTTACAATTATAATAAATTAATATAGTTTCTAAAGTTATTTGGATCAGCTAATAAAGTATAACTAGTAGGAATAATAGGAATTTGCTTTTAAAAACGGTATTATGTAGGAGTAAAGTAAGTGGATGTACTTTACTAGAATGAAAACCTTCCTACTTGTTATCTTACTTACCTAACTTTTCTACTTTTATACCAAGTACAATGACATAATTTTAAGCTACTATGAATTAATAATGTTTAATCTATTTAGAATTGTTAAAATAATTTAGAATAATTATAGTTTGGTTTTCGTTTGTCCTTATTAATTCTATTCTATCTGCATTATCATAAGGTCAACTGGTGGACAGACTGCGCTATGGAATTAAGTCCGCTATTTGTAGTTTTTCGAAAGAATGATAATGATTAAATAAATAAAAAATAAAAAAATGTTTTCGGTTTTTCCTAAATAGTAGACATTTATGAAGTTTTATTTAAAAGCGTCATAATATTTATTTCCTAAATTCGCTTTTTATATCGAAAATAGTTTCTTCTAGTTCGAAGATATCAAAACTTCTAGTTAAATAGTTTCATAAATTATGTGCATTAAATTATGAAGCTACGGAAAATAATTTTATTTAATTTAAAAGACCATAATTAATTAAAAATATGTGAAGAAATTGTATATTACATATGAAATACCATAAAATATTAAATATTTAAGCTAAATCATCAATTTACCCTTTCATAATACCTTACCTGGGTGTCCCGTTACGACCTATGAAAACCTACAAAACTATGTAAATTTGTCATTTATTACCTTAGTTTTGTAGTTTTGTGAAATAAAAATAGACTTACGTCCTGAGTAACTTGCCTAGGACGAATATTTGAAGGGCGTAAAGGTCTTTTTATTGTAATTTTGAGGGCGTAAAGGAAATTTATCTCAGTAAATACAGCTCTAGTTCAGTTTTTCAATACCTCTTCGGAAAATGCTGTGAATTCTAAGCACTTTCTTCATAAGTCATAATTTAATAGCTCAAAAAACAAAAAAGTTATCGTCGAATAAAAAAATAAAAAATCGTTTTTTGCTTCTCCTGAAAAGCCGTACTTTGTCCTTTACGACCTTTGAGCCCAGAGGTATCGATATTCCAAGTAGGTATGTAATTTGCTAGTTGGAAACATCAGAATTCCAACCTTTCGGCAAGGATTTCACGTTTAATGGATGACTTGCCATAACGGAATCTCCAGGATGCCCTTCCTCTGTCTCAGAATGCGTAGTAGATTCTGCAGGAGTTAAATATCTTGGTATCGTATGGGTAAATTGGGCTGCTAAGTTTGGAGGGGTTGATGTGTCATCAATATTTTTCGATGAAGGTTCCGATGGTGCTTTAGGCCACGCAAACCCATCTTTCAAATTAGATTTTATCACCGTTTCATTAAGATTTAGATTACTATTCAGCTCTTTGATTACTTCTGGGGCAACATCGGCATTCAGATTCTTTGTTATCTCTAACTGCTCATTCAAGACACTGTCTGGTACAGTTATAACTCTAGCGCCAATTAAAGTTCCGTTTCCGAACACCAGTTTCAATATTTCGTCCTTCTCAAAACCTCTCAACCCTGGAGATATATCGCTGATATTCGAAGCAGCTATTAATTCTTGATACAAATGCTCAGGCTCTGATCTTAGACCTGGTTTCCTTAAAACCAAATTTTGGAAATTGTGCAGGAATGTTTCATACGGCAATCTGTATTTTACGTAGTAAATCGGCCGGTAAATTAATGGTTTAGGTCGTTTAAGGACGTACGTAAGTTCGATAATGTTCGCCTTGTTCTGCGATGGAGGTAATTTATTAGCATTCGATATGGTTTGCCACCGTTGCAAATTGTTCAAAAGCGCTTCGTAATCTGGTTTGGTGTTTCCAGAATATGCTCCAGCAGAATCTGATTGCAGGTGGTTTAGATAATCCTGTAAACTATGATCTGGTACACCGTCAGGACTGTTAACATTTGTATACGGTGTTTGTAATTCAAGGAATTGATTAGAGGGATTCGCGTTGAGATTTGGATTCAAATACTTCCACAGTTGGCCTTTTAGAAGCTCTTCAAGTTGAGGACTTAATCCAGTCAGTGACTTCCCTCCTTCTGGGTGTGCAAGTAAACCAAGCAGTATTTCTAAAGTTAGTTCAGGTCTATTTTCCGTTTGTGTTTTAAATGGAAGAGGTTCGTTGGTTGGACCTTTGACAGTACCAGGTAGATGTTCACCGTATAAATGATAAGGAGCATCTAGTGGTTGTCCAGGTGCAACGTAATACACTTGACCTGGGTAATCAAATGCATTGTTCGGAGGAGGATTTGTTTGCAGATTTGGATTAGAATTTACAACAGTCAAATCAGGGTAATTTTGCAATTGATCATTATCTGCTCCAGCCACGTGGTAATGGCCCGGAGGATAAATATGTGTAAAATGTCTCTTAGCGTCATCTGGTACATTGTTATTGAGAAGTGAAGGATTATTTTCCAGGGTATTTTGGGGCTGAAGTGACGACACAATTGTGTCGTAAGAAGGCTTACCAGTTAACCGGTTTAAAAGTAGTAACAGGTTATTTTGTAGTGGATTTTTGGGAGCTTCTGGATGCTCTTTTTCATATTGTTTGACGAAAGTTATGTCAAATTTAGGAATTTGCTGAGGCAATGGCAGAAGAGGGTTATTTGTAACTTGGCCATTCGGGAGTAAATATTTTAAAGCAAAATCATTATTTGGGACTTTACTATCAGGGCCTCCATCTACCACGCTTGGGTACAGATGATCCAAATGAGGATTGTTGATATCCAGATTAGAAAATATAGGGAGACCACTAACTTCTGGTTTATAATAAGAGGTTGGAGGGTGTTCATAAACCACGACAAATTGGTACGGTTTTTGGGGTTTCACGTAATTGTTTGGATGATACAAGTTTTCATCAACATACCCGCTTGGCACACACTGCGGGTATTTCGCTGTTTCTTTGTAAACATTGACTGCTGTTTGTATCAGTCTTCCAAAAGTCTCTCTGCAGTTTTCCTGATGCAATCCAGGCAAATCTTTTTGGAAGACTATTGTTGTCTTATGTTCGTCCGAAGGATGGAAGTGGGGTTTTTCATGCTCTTTATGCTTCAGCAAATGTTCTTCTACAATAATCAGCTCCTTTAAGAAAATCACTTTCTCTGGACTTGGAGGTGCCACGTTCAAATACTTCTTGATCAACTCGCAAACAATGAACGCTTTTTCAGGCTCAGGTGAATGGTCTAAGAATTGGAGTAGTACTCTGAGAATTGGCAGCAATGTATCGGAGAAATACGATGTAGCAGTACATCGATCTGGTTCACGATTGCTTAATGTTGCGTCGTAAAGTCTGTAGCTGGTTGGTTTACTCTATGGAAAAAAGTCAGAGTCAATGAGCATACTACCCAAGAAGTCGATAAAAGCATTATTAAAAACGAATGGGTAGGTATATTCCGCTGTACCTGAAACAGTTCTTCCAGTTGCGCACTTGGTTGCTGATTATCATTTTGTGGTTGAAAGTTTAGCTAAAAGAAATTAAAATTAAAACAAGACTTCTTCCAAATGAAACACAGGCCAAATAAAAACTCAAACGTTCAAGTTATAAAAAAGGAAATTACCTGAGTTTCAACGGCCTGCGGTGGAAATTGCAAGGGCCCATTTAACATAGGNAGCATAGGTAGTATCGCTTCTAAGTTTTGAACATTGGGAGGCTGTAAGGTGGAAAGCTTTTAGTACAGTTGAATAAAAATGAAAGTTGTTATAAAAGTAGATTTCAAAGGATATTTATTAAATACTTAATATGTTTTCTCATGTTGACTGTAGATAACTTGCCAATATTAAACAAAATAAAATACGGTTTTTAACACGAAAATGCAAAGGACTAACGCAAGGGTCGTTAATGAGACCTTGCAGTTTAAACTAATTAAATAATTACCGATTCATCTGCAAATGATATAGCGAATAAAAAACCTAATATAAATTTTCTCAGCACCATCTCCACAGCTTCCTTCATGAGTAAATTCTAGAAAATGGCACGCGTCAAATATTTACTTGTAGTCACATTAGTGGGTGTGTAATTGAATAATTATGATACATACAAGCAACGCGAAACAAATTGTTTTTAATGATTTCGCGATAATTACGGCTGTTATTAGTGTGTAAGTGCGTAATAGCGATTGTCTGTTTTAGGCAGCGACTTCTTTCTATGTCTATGCAGATTTCAATGTCTAAAGCAGTACCTACATCATCTTTATCATCATCATCAGATAATTTTGGTATCCACTTTAGGAAGACGGATCCTCCCTCTCTAATTTACCAAAGGATTTGTCCTGTAATTTTCACGTTGGACAATCTTGTTGGGGAGGTCTAATGTTTGCATACCTATATTTTCGTCTTACAGCATCTACGGGAATAGGGATGGTTGGATTCTACAGCCGAAACCACACAAAAACAATAAAATTAAAGATTTAAAATTTGAAATAAATATATTTATAAAATAATCTTGTATATTAATAGGAGGTACCTAAAACATAGATAAGCTTAAAAAAGTAAAAATATCGAATAATAAATAAGTACGAAAATATTACCAATAAAAAAATTATGCAGTTATTCTAAATTATTTGTTGAATTTATTGATCATTTTCACTGCTCGCATCTCCTTCCTGTCTTAGTTTCAATAGTTTTTGAAAACCTTTCTTTATTTCATTAATTTTTTCGTTAAGTACCTTGGTTTGACAGTCACTGACGTCATCGTTTTCAGTCAGAGCCTTATCAAGATCAGAATTTATTTCTTGCAATGCTTCATCTGATATTCCGTGTTGATTGAACTTGGAGATTATTTGGAAAAGCATTCCTTTTAAATCATTTGTAGGTTTGAGATGTACATTCCACTTTAGGTGAAGTTTCGGACGAGGTTTTACTTCATCAGATTCATTATTTTTTGAGTCAGAATCATCAGACCCGCTTTGATCTGATAAATCGTTATTAGCTTCAGCCTGTCCATTACTTTTTAAGGCTACTTTATATTTGACTAATAATTTAGGATGTGCTTTTTTCTTCGCTATGAAATGTAGCAATATTTCTGCTAATTTATCCTTAGGTTCTCCTTTCAAGCCTTTTAACAGTGATTCCAACTCTGCAGTAGAATTATTTGCATCAGTAATATCGTCTAGACTTTCTACTTGATTACCGTCTTTATGTTTTGCCTTTAGAGCCTTTAGCAGTAACAGTATTCTAGCTCTTTTGTCTTTAGGTAGTCCTTTTAGTAGTGTGAGCAGCAATGATAATTTATTAGGTTTCCCTACTTTAGAAGTCTCTTCAGAATCTTCTAAACCGAAAATTTCGAATTCGTGATCTTTATGTGCATTAGCAACTTCTTCGCTTGGAGTTTTGTCTTCATCAGGTTGCGTTAATTCAATCAATTCTTTATTTACATCTTCTGAATCAGTGACTTCTTTTGGTTGTTCAACAAAATCGTTATTATTTTCCGTCACATCAGATGATACATTTTCTTTAGAAACAGGTGCATTTGATTCACTTGACGATAATGTATCGTTATAATTATCGATGTAAGGGCCAACTGTTACTTCATCTGAAACGTTTTCAATTTCTTCGTTTTCTATTTGTGAACTTCCAAAGTCTGTCCCTAATTTGGGACTATGTTTAGTGACATATTCTCTGCTTTTTTCAACATCTATATTAGAATCATCATTAATTTGAACTAATGCATCATCATCATCGGTGCGTCGATCATCATGTTGTAGATCTAATTCAAACTCGGGTTTTGGAGTAGTTTTTACAATTTCATTCAAGACTTCTTGTTCTAATGTAGGGTCAAACCCACGTTCTGATTCTTCAGATTTATTGAAATCTAAAGAATGTTCTTTACTGCCGTCTTCTTCCTTTTTATTGAAAATTTGCTTATCATTTGAAACCACATCGAAAACAGAATTAGGTTTAACTGGTGCATCTTCATTTACTAGCGAGAAATCTTGAAGATCTAATCCATATAAACCAGACTCTTTTTGGCTTGGTTCTTGCTGATCTTTAAAGACGACCTTTTCTTCAAATCCTCCTGTGTTTGGTGGTTCCCGGTATTGCTGTTTTTCTGCTTTGTTATCATTTGACCAATAAATATCTGCGGGATTTTCAGTTACTGGTTCTATTGGTGACAGTTTTGATTCTTGTGGTTTCAAGCCAAGAGTCTTAGCCTGTTTCGTACCGTCAACTGATCTTAGAATTGTTAGAAATAAATCCATCTTCTGTTTATCACTCAGGTTTTTATTATCCAAGCCGAAGTAACCAGCTGCGACTTTCCAAAAGTCCAAAAGGTTCGCTTTGGCGTTAGCACACAGTTTCTTCACTTGTTCCTCAACTTGCAACGGCTCTAGTTTTTGTTTTTGAAATGTTTTTGACCCAAAACTTTCTTCGTGACCTGAATGTTTATCATTGTGTTCTAACTGGTATACCGTTCTTGATCCAACGTTTTCTTTATCATGTGAATCTTCATTATTATGTTCTAAATGGTACATAATATTATTTTCTCCTCCAGAATAATCACCATAACCCCTATACGGTACAATTTTTTGCTGATATCTTGTATAAGGCCCATTTCCTGTGATTACATCACTTCCTCCTTCCCCAGAGTGGATATTGCCATATTGAATTGCACTAATAACATCGTTATCTGGTCCATTTGCTTTATGTTTTTTGTTATTTACGACCTGAAATTATAATTTAATTCAATAAAATGTATCTGTATGACATTAAGTTCAAACAAGAATCACTAATCATATTAATTTAAAAGATAAATTTTGATCCACAGTAAATTTACTAATATTAATAAGATGGCATTAACTACGTTTTCCTCCTCTGGTGAATTAGAGGTTTGCGATTCTGTTAGTAGACTAAAAGACTACATATTAATAATGATGATGATAATAAAAAATATTGAATACATACCACAAGACTCCATCCGCGTCGATTTTGATGACTTTTTTCCAAACCTTCCTTCTCATTCTTATTTTCAGTTCTATCCTCACGATTTTTTTCATATTCACTGGAAGCCGAACGTCTAGTGTCTTTTAGGAGTTTGACTGAATTGCCTTTATCGCTTTTGTCTAAATATTCCAGCAGAAATGGAAGTAATTCAGCTTCTTTAGAATCTAGAGGATGTTCCAAATACTCATGTTTGGTCTTTACACCAGTATCAAGTTTACTATTATCAGTTTCAGTATTATCTTTATTACTGTTCGTAGATCTTCTTCTGTAAGTAATTTTGACTCTTTTCGGTACAGTCGAATCGTGATTTCTATGTTCCAGGCCACGTCTGCTCAAGAGTTCTTTTATTAACGACAGCGTATCACCATTATCCGTTTGGCCAATTTCTGATAGTTGTTTGACATGTTGGCTGCTGTGTATAACATCGCCCTTAGAATTGGAAGCATGCTGTGAACTTGCGACCTATAAAAAGATAACAATAATAATAGTCTCTAGATAGCTAAAAGATAAATATTTTGACAAAATTTCATTTATTAAGTCATCCATTTCATAAAAAAAAAATTCGTTATCACGCGTCGAAATCGCTAAACTTATTTACTCTATTTCATCATTGAAATTAATAAAAAAAATCTACTTCCAAGTCTCAAAGAAATCTTTTTTCAAAAGATGTGAATACCTACCTACAATAATCCTTCCTTTCCTACGGGAAAAATTACATACGAGGGCGGCACTGAAAATTTCGGGAATCAAGGAAGTGAAACAACATTACTATTTAAAAATGTATTTATTGCTTTTTAAAGTATTCTCCGCGAACTTTGACACATTTTTCCATACACGAAACCAATCATTGAAGCAACCATTGCATTCGGAAGTTTGGGTCTCCAAAATGGCCGTTTTGTAGGCTTCCACAGCTTCTTCAGGTGATGAAAATCTCTGACCACGCAATTTA